ATATAGAGAGAGAGAGAGAGAGAGAGAGAGAGAGAGAGAGAATAAGTAGATGTGTCAAAATGTTAATAACTAGTGAGTTTATGTACTAGTAAAGGGTATATGGGTGTCCCTTGTACTATTCTTTCAAGATTTGAAATTTTGCAAAATTGGAAGTTGGGGAAAGAATGCATTTTTATGTGACTTTAAGACGCTATGGATGCCAGAGAGTAGAGGCGGAAACTGATGGGCATGGGTGGAGAGGCTTTTCTTTCTTGAAGTTTATTTACTTTTTGTTTTTTAATCCTTGCCCAAGGATATTTTTCCACTGATTACAGAGAAAGTGGAAGAGAGGGAAAGACAGAAATATCCACGTGAGAGAAGCTCATGGATTGGTTGCTTCCTGCACCCGCCCCGACCAGGGCCCAGGCCAGCGAGGAGCCTGTAACCATGGCACGTGCCCTTGACTAGAATCGAACCCAGGACCCTTCAGTCCTCAGGCTGACGCTCTATCCACTGAGCCAAACCAGCTAGGGCTAGAGAGGCTTTTCATAGTACATACCATTTCATGGCTTTTGAAATTTGAAACATGTAACTGTATTACCTCAAACATGTGGTAAATGAACACACTGCAAAATTTCTGCTGTACATGTATGAATCAAATTGAGTCTAGAACGGGGTTTCTCAACCTGGCCACTGTTGGTCTTCTGTGTGGGGTCTGTTCTGTGCCTTGTAGGATGGTGAGCAATCTCTCTGGCCTCTACCCACTAGATGCAGGTCGAGCAGCCCCCCTCCTTTGTGACAACGAAACACGTCTCCAATACTGCCAAGTGTCCCGAGGGACAAACGAAGCAGGTGGAACTGCCTGAGCTACACAATCAGGACCAGGGACTCCTAGGCAATGAAGAAATATGTTCAGGGAAGCCGGTGATTTGGTGATGCCATAAAAGTGACAGTACCCGGGGCATTCGGCCATCTTTATGAACACAGTTACCTAGAAAAGTTCGTTTTAAAAATGACAGACATGCCTCTGCCATAGGGTGGGATGGTAGAATAAAATTGTCAAACTTTGCTTCCAATATAAAACAAACTCTCCCATGACACCTGACAGGGTCAACTCCATTTGGCAACCACACGTTTCAAATAATTTGGTCCTTAGCACCCTTCCCAACGTGTCCCTAACGGCACGAACAGGGAAACGCCGAGACCTGAAGTCAGTGTCGCCGGGTGGGTGTCCGCTTACCCTGTCCCCCGACAGGAGGCAGTTCCCGTTGGTGCTCCAGTTGAGGACAGTGATGTCAGCGGAGTGCGTTGGGGGGACCGCATGCTGCTCCTTCTCCTGCTTATTGAACATGATCACCTCTCCGCTCTCCCATCCAACAGCCAGGATCAGCCGGCTCTGGTGCCAGCACAGGGAAGTGAGCCGGCAGGACCTCTCCACATGCGTGTCGGGCACACGCTCACCCTGTGATGGACAAGAGGCAAATCCCATGTTACAGAGGGTGGCAGCTACTCCAAGAATGTATAGCTAATCCCCACGGGGCACTGACATCAGCTAGAAGACATAAAGAGCTGTTTTTAGGGAACTGCTTTATTTCATTTTCATAGAAACAGCAACCTCGTCCTAGCAAAGCTATGAAAACAAGATTAACACACAACAACAGACCATGCTGACCAGCTTATCAGAAAGTATGACCTCATACTCAGAGCCGCTCGGTGGCTAGCTAGGGTGTTTTTTTGTTTTTGTTTTTATTCATTTCAGAGAGAGGAAGGGAGAGGGAGAGACAGCAACATCAATGATGAGAGAGAATCATTGACCGGCTGCCTCCTGCACACCCCCTACTGTAAATCGAGCCAACCTGGGCATGTGCCCTTACTGGGAATAGAATTCTAACCTCCCGCTTCAGGGGTCGACGCTCAGCCACTGAGCCACATCGGCTGGGTGCTAGCTAGCATTTCAATGAGTTCCAATGAAGCTTTATTATTTATTTATTTACTTTTAATCCTCACCTGAGGATATTTTTTTAGAGAGAGTGTAAGGGAAGGAGGGAGGGAGGGGGGAGAGAGAGAGAGAGAAAAACACATTAATGTGAGAGAGGCACATTGATTGGTTGCTTTCCATACACTTCCCGACCTACAACCCAGGTACATGCCCTTGACCGGGAATTGAAGCCATGACCCTTTGGTGTGCTGGCTGATGCTCTAACCATTGAACTGCTGACCAGGGCTAAAACTTTATTTATAAAATAAGTGGGGAATTATTTCTGAGCAATGACTATGACTGGACTAATAAATGAATCACTCTAAAAAAAAAAATAATAAGTGGTAGGCCAGGTAAAGTTTGTCAATACCAAAGTTCTCAAACTGTGGTCAGATGACTCCCAAAGCCTTTTCAGGGTCTGCAAGGTTATGATTATGATTATTTTTTTTACTAAAGATTTTTTTAATTGATTTTTAGAGAGAGAGGGAGGGAGAGGGGAGAAAAAGAAAAGCATCGATGTGAGAGCAAAACATAGATCGGTTGCCTCCTACACGCCCCCGACTAGGGATTGAACCCGCAACCCGGGCATGTGCCCTGACCAGGAATCAAACCAGCAACCTTTCAGTGCATAGGACAACGCCCAACCGAGCCACCCCGGCAGGGCTGCAAGGTCAGTTATTTCTAGAATGATGCCAAGAACTTGTTTGCCTCATTTGCTTTCATTTTCTGACCAGCGTATAATGGACTTTTCCAGAGGCTATGTGATGTGTGATGATTCATTGCTCTGATAGCTAACGGAATATGTACTTGTATATTTTTGTTTTCTATAATTTTCTAAGGAAATAGGTTTAGGGTATAAATATGTATTTCTAGCAATTAACACAGTTTGTTCTCAGCACTTCTACCAAACGCTCTCTAGTAATCTCCAGTTATACCTGCTACATCTGTAACCTTATTAACATCTAATAATTAATTAGAAATCCTAAAGTTTTCCTTGTGCCAATTAGAAACACAAAAAGTACACTTTGTTTTGTAATAGTATTTTTTAATTTTCTAAATTTTAAAATTTTGTCTAAAATTGCTATTATTTTGGAATATAATATTTATTCTAAATAAGATTTTATAATGCATACTGGAGAGTTCTCTGACTCCTAGAAGGGAGGAATGTGCTCCAACGAAGCTGGGTGACACTGCGCTTGGTGCTGGGGCTAGACAAACACGAGAGCAGCCGGGGCCTGGCTGAACTCCCATCCGTGGAGGGGCTAAGGACCAAGTATCACAGGTGAGCCCTTCAATGGTGAGGTGGGGGAGAAAGCAAGAGGGTCTGCCCTTGCATGTGGGGAGGTAGGGAAGGACGTCCTCAGGAAGTGCCACTGAGCCACTTTCATCTGCAGGACTAATATAGTAATTAAGCAAAAAGATCAAGGAGAGCCCGACCAGTGTAGCTCAGTGGTTGAGTGTTGACCTATGAACCAGGCGGTCATGGTTCGATTCCTGGTCAGGGCACATGCCCAGGTTGCGGGCTCCATCTCCAGGGTGGGGCGTGCAGGAGGCAGCTGATCTATGATGCTCCCTCATCACTGATGTTTCTATCTCTCCCTCTCCCTCTCCCTTCCTCTCTGAAATCAATAATATATATATATATATATAAAGTTCAAGGGAGACTTCCTGTGCGGAGGGCACAGCACTGGCACCCGGAAGGCGGGGAGGCCAGGTGTGTGTAGTGCAGAAGGAGGAGCACCCTGTGAGGCAGGAGAGCCAGGTCTTGGGGGCCCTGGGGGCCACATCAGCGACTTCCGTCCTCACCCAAAGAGCAAGGCAGGGGCGGGGAAGGTGGGGGTAGCGGGTGGCTCCAGCTATGATTCCTAAAGATGGCTCTGCCCTGTGTGGGGGTGGGGAGGACCTCCAGGACACAGCTGCTGCAGGACACAGGTGCTAGTTTGCCGCGGTGGAGGGTGACACTACCATCCCCAGGCCCCTGTCCTGGGCATTAGGATGGAAACCACTCAGCCTTTGAAGGAAAGTGTGGGGCAGGGGGCAGGGGGGCGAGGTTCAGTTCAGTCTGGACTTGTGAAGTTTGAGGCCTGTGTCAAACACCCAGGTGTCCTCTGGCAGCTGGATTCCTAATTCTGCAGCTCAGGGGGGACTTGTGGGCTGGAGATAGGTTTCTTTACTGTTCATCGATAGACAATGACAGGTCACAGTCAGAGGAGGAAACAGAGGGGGAAGAGACCTCGACAAGTTCAGGACATGCCTACAGCAGTCCGGGGCTTGGAAGGAGAGGAAGGCTGGGTCCAGGAGGCAGGGAGGGGAAAGCCCCTGCCAGCTCCATGGCGGGTTTCCCAGAGAACGTCACAAGCGCGGGAGCAGCACAGAGAAGGGGCATCAGGTAAGAACCCAAAACACAAGGGCGTGTCACAGACACTGCTGGTGACTCCAGCTGCTTGGGCGAAGCATCTGGGACGACAACGAGACTACAGAGGGCTGAGAAGTGAGTGGGAAGGGAAATCTGATTTCCTTGGTGAAGTCTGTGGTGCGTTGTGCACTGAGAATTTGGGGGGGGGGGACACAATGAAAATCTGAAGAGCATCTCGAAAATTTTTGCAATGGATTGAATTGTGGTAATTCCTAAAAAGCTATGTTAACGTCCTAAACACTGGTACCTGTGATATGACCTTATTTGAAATAGGGTCTTTGCAGATGATTAAGTTAAGATGAGGTCATTAGGATGGGCCTTAGTCCAATATGGCTGTGTCCTTAATAGAAGAGGAGACACCCAGAGGAGGCAGCCCTGTGACGAGGGAGGAAGAGGCTGGCGCGGTGCAGGCACAAACACAGGAGCACCAAGGACTGCTGGGAACCAGAAGCAAAGACAAACCATGCAACAGATCCTCCCCGGGAGCCTTCAGAGAGGGTGAGGCCTGGCCGGCCCCTCATGTCAGACGTCTGGCCTCCAGAACTGGTAAGTAGTACATTTCTGTTGTTTTAAGCCACCCAGTTTGCAGTCATTTGTTATGGCAGCTAATTGTTTTAAATAGGTAACTCGAGCCAAAGGGAGATTGGATCAGGATGAGAGACAAGGCTGAGAGGCCATATCTGGTTGGTGACTGTGAATGGACTGTTAATTCTATCTTAAACATTCCTAAATCTGTCCCCAAACCTAACCTGCAGAGGTAAAATAATAATACTGGGAGTTAGGACCTCAGTGAGAATACACACACACACACACACACACACACACATTATATCCCATACTCCCCCCCACAACATACCCTACACTCCCTAACCCATCCACCTACAACCCAAACCATAACACATATACCCCTTCCC